TCAATCTCGTATGCTCCGTGCTCTGTTTTCTTAACGATACGATATGGCCCCATCCATCGATTATCTAATTTCCTCGACCACTGCTTTTCAAGAGAAGAGTCATAGAGGAGGACAATATCCCCCACTTCCAATGGTTCCTTCCGAACCCGGGGTTGCTTATCCCATCTAGCTTTGTCCGCCCGTCTGCTGTCCGCAGTAGAGGCAGCAGCCTCTACAACTCTTTCCTCAGTAGCTTTTATCTGTCTGGCTCTCAGGTCCAACAATTCTTCCGTAGAAAGTCTGACTTTCATATCCTGTTTTTGCCATGTGGTTAGGAAACTCTCGATTGGAAATGTAGCATGTCGTCCAAACCATAATGTAACCGGAGCATACCCAGTAGTTCGTTTTACGGTTATATTTTCAACAAATATAGCAGCTCTGAGATAGACGGGCCATGCTGACGGCTTGCCAGCACACCATTTGGCTAGCAAATTAGTCAAGGTGGCGTGCCCACGTTCGACCGGAGCATTGGCCTGGGGTTGCGCTCTAGTGATATAACTATAGTTCACTCTTAGTCTTTTCATAAGAGCCTGAACTTCTTCCGCCCGAAATTCACCACCTCGATCCATCACAAATTCCCGAACAAATGGGAACCGAAGGTAAAACTCTTCGATACACTCCGCCAAAATCTTTCCGGTTCGCTCACGGATTGCACGCCCATCAACAAACCCGGTAAGATTATCTCTCGCATCGAATATGTACCTGTACCCATTAAGTCCTGGTGGCATAACGACCAGGTCGAGGTGCACAATCGCACCTGGCTCAACCACATACCGCGGATTGAGAGGCTCGACATAATGGAGGTTCGAACGTTTCTGACAGGGGATGCACGAGTTGCAGAACTCCACCACCATCCTACCCATACCATCCCAAAAATAGAGATGTTGAATTTTTCTTAATGTCACTCGAGCATATCAATGTCCACCTGCCACTCCATCATGTAGGGCCGCAATCACATCCAACTGTCTGGGAACCCCACACACCACTCTCTTAGGCGTACCATCGTCAAACTTTTTGAAGAGATGCCCCTGTCGAACGACAAAACCCTTTGCCTTTTCTCTTATTTCTGGCTCTATCTCTGCCTCATTCAGGTCCCCATTCAACCAGAGCCCAATCTTCTTATAAATCCCATCATATTCCTCCTCACGAAAGGCTTCTTTAATCTCACTGCCTTCCCCTTCTTCCAACATTAGCTTGCCGCGATCTTCCTGTATCAACGAATTAACGAGAAATATCATTCCCCCGGAGGTCCTGAGGACTTCGTCGTCTTGCTCATGTCCTCCTTCAATCGTAAGTGTCTCTTCTAACAGTCGTACCGGATCCGACAATGCCAACCTCATCATTTACTCAGCAGATTGTTTGCCCGAAGGATCCTCCTCAAAAAACGGTTCCCTCATCACAAGCTCTGCACACTTTTGGTAAGAACTCGGCGAACTCCAGATAGACTTCCCAGGTCGGGACGACGCATTACTGATGTACTCCCAAACATTGATACTCAGTTGTTGCTCGTCTGTCTCCAGAAACCCATCCACAGGGACCGAGTCTTCTGCCTGATCTTTCGAGGAGTCCCACTCGATCCGACTCAATCCGTCGGCTCGATTTTGTGTTCCCGCAATACGCTCGATCTCGAAATCGAACATCTAGATATAGATCAACCATCGAGCAATAGTTGGATCCGAGGAAGAATAATTCTTCAATGACTGCGCTAGGGCGGTCGGATCAACCCGCAGGACGAACCGCCTTCCAAACACGTAGTTTCGGAAGATCCTGAAGCAATGAAGCACTGCAAGGGTTTCCTTCTTAAATTAAGAATACTTCCGTTCCGCCTCATTCAGCGTTCGACTTTCAAATCTCAATGGTCTTTCTCGCCCTTCTCCATCCTTTTGGATGAGGACTCCACCCAATGTTGTGGGGCCTGCATCCGTTTCAACCACAAAGGGCCGATTCGGGTCATTGTCAAAGCACGGGACCCCCAGGATCAATCCTCCTTCTCGGAATTGTGCCTTGATATCATCCACCGCGGACTGTTGTTTTGGACCCCATTCCCATTCTTGATTTTTACGCACCAACTTCCGTAGGTGCTCCACCCTTGCGGCGAACTTGCGAATGAAGATGCGCCAGAATCCGCAAGTCCCCAAAAAACTGCGCACATCAGTAATGGATTTGAGCGGGGTCGGCCACTCCAGAATTTTGTTTGTCTTTTTGGAATCTGGCCGACGACCCTTCTCATCGCACAAGAAGCCCAAGATAGTCGCCTCACGCATACAATGCCGAGATTTGACACCGCTGGCGGTGAGGTTGTACTCCTTTAATTTGGACATGACCTTCTCCACGTTACGAACGTGCTCCCAAACAAACTTTCGAACGTCTGGCAGCACCTCCGTCTCGTCCTTGACACGGGGCTCAGGTATGGCCAAGTCATCGATATAAGGTGAGGTCACGTCCGGACAAAGCGGCTGCATGACCCTCATCATATATCTCTGAACAATCGCCACGGCGTTCGTCCATCCCTGAGGCGCCGCACACATATGAATCAATCCCCTCGGCGTATGCATGACCGTCATCGGCCTGTCTGCCGTATAGAGAGGGAATTGATCATATCCCAAGTACAAATCAATGAGAGTTATAATAGGCCTGACTGCGCACGACTCTGACAGCTAATTAGCATGCGGAAGTCCTCCGGCATCACGAACCGTCGCTGAGTTCGGCCTCTGCAAGTTCTTCACTCATCGCAATACGCCATTTGGCTTAATGAAACAAAACCAAGGGGACGCATATGGTCCATACGAGTAATCTGCGACCTTTGTCCGAATCTTACCGTTCAAATATTCAACGACTCTACGATGATCATCCGAATTTGGATAACGCGGACCTCGTATGTTCCACGGCTCGTGAGGTACCGTATGAATTCTGATCATCGGAATCATGTCAATGTCAAGCCTCCCTCGCTCGTCATCATCGAAGGCATAAGCCATATGAGTTTTCTTCACGACACTGACAAGGAATTCCACCTCCTTTTTAGTAAGCGACCCTTCCTCTCCAATGATCATATTCTTAATTTTCTCCTCCGTCAATCGACATGGCGCCTTCACACTCTTTTCCTTCCTCATCGTGATCCACTCTCTTTCTTCTTTATAATACACTTCTTCTTCTTGCGTGATCAAGACGGGCACTGGCCGAGCTTTCTCGCCTACTCTCTTGTACTTACGTTTCGCTCCAACTCCAAGTCGTCCACCTCTAAAAAAGGCCCTTGCTTGGCTTCTGGCTCCGCCAATGCATCACCCTCAAAAGACCTGTCGGGCCGATAGGTAAGATGCATCCTACCAGTCCCGCCTTCCCCTGCCACAATCTCTGTCAATGTTTGGACCAACTTGGGATCCACAAACGAGTCTGTCGCAAAGAACTCGATTGCTTGAGAGATGTGGGGTAGAGCAAGAGAAAATTCCTGGGGATCGCTCTCTTCTCCGAGGGATTCCTTCTCCCTTCTAAGTCTTTCGGATTCCGTGAAAGAGTAGGACCCCGGATTGAGTCGGTTCCTTGAGTTGGTTGGTCCTGTGTTCTCACACTTCAGCACCTCGTAATAGCCACATACGGGGTCACACAAAACCACGATCATAGTACCATCGTGCTTGTTAAAGATGATGGATTCTGATCGACATAGAAAAGCTCTGCCCAACAACACGGCATGCTCAACCCTAGGTAGCACATAGAAATAAGAACGGACTTTGACTTTACCAACTTGTACCGTCACGTCACTCGCCGTTCCGCAAAAGGGAGTTATCCCACTTGCACCCACCAGGAATCCAGTATCTGCTCGATTGATGCTGACTCCTGCCCCCATGGCTTATTTTTCCCGTATAATGTTCATTTCAGCTCCATCATCGATGAGAGCTGAATATTCACATGGCCCAATTTGCACTTTCAACAACCCAGTAGCTACATAGTGCCAGTCCATTTTTGTCCCAGGCGGAGCCCAACTAATCTCTTGAGGAAAGATATCACTCATCTTAACCGTCACCACCTTTTTCCTTGACAGTCGGTGTCTGAACTCCTCTCGGAGTTTCGGTGACGCGGCCAAGAATTCCTTGAGCGTGAACAAATCGCGTTGGCTCTCCAGAATCCGATCCACGATTTGCTCAATATCCAGCCCTTGCTCTACCGGAATCGTGTAAACTTGCTTCTTCTTTTTCAACTCACCTTCCCCAATATCGGCCTTGCCCATTTCTGGCTCCCTCTCCATGGCTCGTTGTTTGGCCTACCGATCATCCTCGACCCGCGACAATTCATCCTCCTCACCATCGTCTTCTTCAATCGAAATCGTCTTGGTTTCCCGAGGCTGACTTGGTCCCTCTTCTGGTGCTGCCTTTGGCCGCGGCGGCCTTCGAGCCTTCCGAGCTTGTGGGAGACCAGCAGTGGCAGGTCGCTTGAAAGCAGGACGGGACAAAACCGTGCTGGCCATCAAATGCCCTGCCGACGACGATCCAGGCTGTGATGCGGTACCATCAGTAAGACCTCCTTGGACGTCTCTGTCCCATCCTCCAAACAAAAAAACTTGGGGAAGCCCGGACCATTCTTCATTCATGTCGGCGCATATTTGAACAAAAGCTTCCCTGCATCGAGTCATTTTTCTGACCACTGCTTAAGCTCGCTGCAGTATCTCTTCCTGCTCTTTGCTCAATCCTTCATCTTTGGCCTTGACATCCTCAATTGTCCATGACTCCATCGTCGCTTCCAGTTAATCTGTTCGACCTCCTCCGGAGAAGCCAGTCGAAAAGTTGCTGGAAGATCTCGCCGCATACGTCGGAAAGCTTCCTTCCTCATTCCTCCCTCCACATTGGGATCGATGAGATTCCCTTCGAAGTCGTAGACCTCGCCTCGGATATTCGTATATATAACCTTATCGTTTTCATCTTTGGTAACGGTCTGACAAAACCGTATCCCATGTCCATCTTGGCCACAGTACTTGCAAAACCAATTCTGCCTATTGCCTCATCCGTCCCCATTTCCTCAACCTCCCTCATTGCCTTGTCCTCTACCTCGACCTCGGCCTCGGCCTCCTGCCTGAGGTTGGGGTTGCTGAGGAGAGGTCTGCGCCGCTTGTTCCTGATTACTTCCTTGTCCACCCCCTCCATCATTCTTCCGCTGCTTCTTACTAGTGCCCTGCCCTCCTCGTATCTGGTTCAGGGCCTTCCGTTCTGCTTTGGTCAATTTTCGAGGCGGCTCCTCTTCCTCCTCGTTTTCCTCTTCACCGCTGCTACCACTCACTTCCTCCACAATGGGTGTTTTGCCCTTCCTTTTCCCACCTTTTGTCTGGGCCATCATCACCTGTAGCTTTAGCCTCTCCTCCTTCATGTCTGCCATCATGTTCCGCAAATCAGTCAGGGTCTTGTAAACGGCTTGATCCTTGTCCGCGCTTACCCCTTCCTTCTTACGGTCCTCCTTTTGCTGCTTCAGGAGACGGTAAAGCATTTGGTCGAAACTTCCGGCCAACAAATTCCCCTTGATCTTTGGCCAGTCGTATCGTCCGGTCATATCCTTCATCAGTTCTCGCTGCTCAACTTCGAAAAACATTTCGAGGAAGATGAGGCACCGATCCTTATCTGGAAGGTCGGGTACTAAGCGCGCAACCCGCTCAAACTCCGTAAGAAACTGCTTGGCCGTACCAAACTTCCGACGACTAACCTTCCGTAAGTCCGCCAAATCGAGCAGTTGATCCCCCAACTGGTACTTGTCCAATAATTTGGCCTTAAAGTCCGGCCAGTCGCGCGAAGCTTGCACCAACTCCGACACCTCCTCTTTGTACTCGACCATACCATATCGCTTCACCATTTGAAGCATCTTCTCACTCGACCATTCGCAGCAACTGCCCAATCGTTCCACCAGGGACGACGGTAATTCGCCGTCATCCCCGGCAACGACACCACCTGTCGAGCGCATCGGCCCCCGCATAAGCGAGGGCCCTCCCGGCTATGTCACAGAGGAGTTATAACCAAACAAGATTAAGAGACAACTTAGGACGACGCATAAATAATCCCGCGAACCGCCGAGACAGACGCGATTGCATTGTCCCTTCGCCGCTCTAGCCAGGTGCGCCAACTGTACATCCCACGGTCCCCTACGACAGGATAGGTTCTCGCGGGGCACATCTTATGTTACATTCTCTAATGAGTATGGGCAGAACCAAAGATCAACCAATATAGGATGAGCATTTATGCAGCGGAAGTCTGATAACGAACTGACTCACATAGACTGACTCACATAGACTGACCTACATGGCATCACTCCACACACATACAATCATGAGATGGTGGGGTCTGGGTCATTCATAGACGATACCCAGATCCCGTACACACAT